GATAAGTAAAAGGTATAATGTCCTGCCTTCAAGTTGCATAGATTCTCATACTCTGCCATGGTCCATTCCTCAATTCTCCGTGCGTCGGAAGCGATACCGTCACATTCTTGGCCGATCTCACTCATAAACGCAACTTCGTGAAAAGTTTCCATCATCTTTAAATATGCTGGGTGTTTTGGGAAATGTAGCTTTAGAAGGAAGAAAATTGATGACTTGAGTATATCACCGTCGTTTACTGCCTTCATCCCGACTGATGCGCGTCGATACCAGCACGGCTTGCCCCTGCGAGTTGATGAGTTATCCATGATATCATCATGCATCAACAAATATGCCTGAAGTGTCTCAACAAGCCACCCGAGTATACAGAGGTCGTGAAACTCTTGCTCGGCTATAGGGCGGTTCAAGGTCGACAGGCCCGTTTGGGGGACAGAGAGCCCGCGGATCATTTTGCCGTTCGTTGAATTCTCATAGAAGCACTACTTTCATGTTATAATGATGAGTTGCAAGTGCGTTTCTGGGAGAATGGGTCATTTTCCTACCTTCTCGACGTAAGTGATCACTTCATGAGATGCTCCTTTCGAGGCAAAATGTTCCTTAACATTTTCGACGAGCTCCGCGAGGACAGCGTCAAACTTGCTGCGATCAACCGTAAAGGCCATTATGTCTCATGGAGCTATAGGGATAATGAACAGGGTCAGAATGAAATACAAGTACAACTTGTCAAATTCTGGGCAGCATGAAGTAGAAGTACAGCTTGTCCAATTTTGGGCGGGATAAAGTTGAGTTTGACACTAAACCATGGTCATGCAATCCGTCCTGATAGCGCAAGACCGCGTGTACAGACTCGACAACCCTCGAGGGACTTTAAACTTCCTGCTTTCCTTGACACGATAGGCAACAAACCTGTTCCGTAACACATCTTTGCACATCGGTCTGCAACGCCTTGACGTAACGGGTAGCTTACTCGTTCTATAATGGATCCTTGCATGCGAGGCCCAATAGAACCCGATGTCACTGGAATATTTTCCGACCTGCCCTGTATATCACCCTTAATCGTAACACGCCTCAATCTATCGTACGGTTCATTTCAGAAGGAGAACCTACTCATGCCTACCTCATGGGTACACAGCAGCTTTATTACATGAAACATTCCACCCACCAGTAATCACGTCCATGCCTTACATGCGGGAAGCCTTTTGACCAAACACACACACATTCTCACTCGCTCCCTCTCTTCCTAGAAATTCCTTTACTCGTACATACCTTCACTGAACTGACGAAATGTCGAAATCATATCAAGATCTTGGGCTATGGAATTTGCGGAACGTGGGAGGTTATCGAGTCTCACCCCACCGGTGCATGCGCAAAGACGTGATATATCGCTCGGCCAACTTGGATTCTATTGGGCATCCCGGGGCTCGTATACTGCAATCACAACTAGGGATCAAAATCATTTTTGATCTCAGAAGCACAGTGGAGCACAAAAGGCCAGAGGTGCTGCTTGATGGAGCTGTTGTGTCTTTGCCCGCCGTCGCGGACCCTGATCCCGAAACCGTCCAGACCTATTTCGAGGGAATATCTAAATCACCAGCGGATTCAGTCGCTCGCTTATACATCCATACCGTCAATAACTCGGTGAAGTGTTTCAGAGCTATAATCGAGTATATCAGAGATAATCCCTCGTGTCCTGTGCTAGTGCACTGTGAGCTTGGAAAGGACCAAACAGGTGTCTTTATCTCTCTGCTCTTGTTCGTCCTTGGAGTGTGCGAGACGGATATAATCTACGACTACACTTTATCGCAGGACGAGATCAAGGATATTATTCACGAGAGAAAAGCGAAACTTTTCCAAACTGCTTTCATGGACGGGATTTCGGTTTCACCAATTGCCCTTGAGAATCATTTCAAGGCACTCCCGGGCTCCCTGAAGCTGTTTCTTTCTTACCTGAGAGAGACGTATCGTGAGGGTCGGGGTTATCTGTCGTCGCTTGGATTTGGTGATGTTGATTATGACACGATCTACAGCAATCTGACGGAGAATCTCTAACTTCATTTTGTATATCGCGGAACTGACTTTAAATGTATACATTTCTTAGTTTCAGCCTCCGTTCCCTACGTCCTTTCGTCACTTCCCTTCTCTACCTCAATCGACCTGGAACCACACTAAGCACAATCCGTTACGCATATCATGCTATCCGCATATGGCTATCAACCGATGGTCCATATATAACACTCTTGATCCCTTTCCGTGCCACAACATTCTTGAACGCCTCTTCCGCCTTCTCAAAGTCAAACACATGCGTCACCAAGCCATCAACCCGGACGCGCCCAGAACTCAGCAGTCCAATAGCCAACTTATAGTCGCCCGGCCCATACCGAAAACTCCCCTTGAAGGCGATCTCCTTATCGCAGACCATTCCCACCGGGAAGGCCACAGTGGGCTTTCCTAGTCCAACCTGCACAAAGGTACCTCCAGATGCGAGGATACCAATCCCGCATGCCAGACAGGCTTCTGCCCCTGAGGCATCAAGAACAACATCAACGCCCTCAGGTACACCCGTGAGAGCACGAATTTGCGCTTCATTACTACTACCCCCCTCAGTCTGGGCTGTCTGCATCCCATAAGTATGCGTTGCGCCATAACGAGGCGCACATTCTAGTCTCTCCTCCACAACATCAACAGCTACCACCGTACTAGCTCCGAACGCAGCAGCCACGGCACAGCAAAGTAATCCGACCGGTCCAGCACCAAACACCACCACACTGCGATTTTGCATGTCGCCTCCCAAACGACAGGAATGTACGGCGACACTCAAGGGTTCGACCAGCGCACCATCACGAAAGGAGACGGTGTCAGGCAGTTTATAGCAGCATTGAGCGGGAACCCGATAATAGGTGCACAGGGTACCGTTGACAGGGGGTGTGGCAGCAAACTGCATGGACGTGCAGAGATTGTATCTGCCACTGCGACAGTACGAGCAGACGTTGCAGGAGATTCCAGGCTCCAGGGCTACACGGTCGTTGACTTTCAGTCCATCGACATTGCTGCCGGTGGCCACGATCACGCCGGAGGACTCGTGGCCGAGAACAAGGGGCTGGGTGACTTCGTATCGACCGAGCTTTCCATGCTGCCAGTAATGGATCTGCGTGAAGACGGTGTCAGAAAATTATATCTATTATAAATGAGAAAAGCCATTCACGTACATCTGAGCCACAGAGACCGGTGGCTACCACGCGGACAAGAACATCCCGATCGGATTCTATAGTCGGAATCTCGCGCTCAGAGTAGGTGAAAGTGCCGCCCGGGTGCAGGACCAACGCACGGTTTACCGATAGCTGCGGTGTCGGCATATTGGTATCCATGATAATGATTAATGAGAGAAATTCTTGGTCTATGCATCCATGCACTGCTTTGGTCTAGTCTTATAGATCAAACATCGTCTCGCATTGCATACAGTTTGGGCGGCGATTGGCCCGGAGCTATCGCCGAACGAATCAACGGTGCCACAGGCTGGAAATATCCCCGAGAGCCCTTCCCCACCACTACCCCACATTTGTCCAGTTGTCCATCGATTCCCCCGCGTCTCGGGAATATCGCCGTCTAATTTTTGAAGTATGGCAAAAATGAGATCCAAAGGAGAGATAAATCACATAAATATGGCACTTCCCCAACCCTTTCAAGGAGAATTCTTCTCCTACAACGTTGCGCACATCTAACACAATGGAAATTCTCCAACAAAAGCCCACCAACTACGCCATTCACACCAGCCCAGCCAACGACCTGCGGCTAGTGGAATGCGAAATCCCCAAGATCGCACCAACCGAGTGCCTAGTGCACGTTCGCGCGACTGGAATCTGTGGCTCTGATGTGCACTTCTGGAAACATGGCCATATCGGGCCCATGATCGTGACGGGCGACAACGGTTTGGGGCACGAGAGTGCCGGCGTGGTACTGCAAGTCGGCGAGGCTGTTACACGCTTCAAGCCTGGTAAATCCATAACTACCCTACATACGGCCACTCTCTAACCAGTTCAACCTCCAGGTGACCGCGTCGCCCTTGAATGCGGCGTCCCCTGCTCCAAACCCACCTGCGACTTCTGCCGAACGGGTCTCTACCACGCCTGTCCGGACGTGGTCTTCTTCTCCACACCCCCGCACCATGGTACCCTTCGCAGATACCATGCCCACCCTGAGGCCTGGCTCCACAAGATCCCCGACCACGTTTCCTTCGAAGAGGGTTCTCTCCTCGAGCCACTGACCGTCGCGCTGGCGGGTATAGATCGCTCTGGATTACGACTCGCCGATCCACTCGTTATCTGCGGAGCAGGACCCATCGGTCTGGTCACTCTACTCGCCGCCAACGCTGCTGGCGCTGAGCCCATCGTCATCACTGACCTTGATGAGAACCGTCTCGCGAAAGCAAAGGAGCTGGTTCCCCGCGTCCGACCGATCAAGGTAGAGAAGGGCGAGAGCTCGGCGGATCTTGGTCAACGGATTATCTCTGAGCTGGGACAGGAAGCGAAGCTTGTGATGGAGTGTACGGGTGTGGAGAGTAGTGTGCATGCGGGTATCTATGTATGGCTCCTCTCCTCCACCCTCTACTTGGAGAAAGCACCGTATCGATGAGGGTTGATGACTGACTGACTGATTTGATACAGGCAACCCGCTTCGGAGGCACCGTGTTCGTGATCGGAGTCGGAAAAGACTTCCAGAATATCCCGTTCATGCACATGTCCGCCAAGGAAATCAACCTCAAGTTCCAGTACCGGTACCATGATATCTACCCCAAGTCGATTGCTCTGGTCGCTGCGGGTATGATTGATCTCAAGCCGCTGGTGTCGCATCGGTATAAGTTGGAGGAGGGTTTGCAGGCGTTTGATACGGCTAGTAACCCTCGTTCGGGGGCGATTAAGGTGCAGATTTTGGATGATTGATTATAGATAGTAGATAAATAGAGAATTTTGACTGTGTTTACTTGATGTAACGAGCCGAGAACATAGTTTGATCCTTGGTGATAGGCTCACTACTGCTTATTAAGTTGAAAAGAGGTAATCATATCTCTAATCAAAGTATCTCCAAGTTACCTTGTTATGTACATCCGTCCGCAACAAGTCAGCAGAACCACACATACGACCAATCACCGTGGATTGAACTCTGATGTCCGATTTCTAGAACTAAGCCTTCGCCTTCAACACCCTCTGCTCCTCCGCCCAAGCAAGCGCACTCTTCCTCACACTCTCCTCACCTACCTCCGAGAAGATATCCACTCCGATTCTAGCCGGGAAATTCATTCTCTGATGTCGCTCCAGTGACTGGATAGTCGAGAATGCGTCGTCGGGGAGGATGAAATCTGATTTGTGCATATCAGCATATAGAAGAACTATGTACATGAGGGCAAACAGGGGGATTACCTTGGAAGTTACTCTCGATTCTCTCTGGAGTCACGGACTTGGGAAGCACGACTGTTCCGCGCTGCACGGCCCAGCTGATTAGGACTTGTGCGGGGGTTTTGTTTAGTTTCTTGGCTGTTTCGATGACGAGAGGGTCGTCGACGGCGCTGATTTCATGTTAATCAGTCGGTGATTTATAGGGGGTGGGGAGATGTATATGGGGTGCATACCGGGGGATGTTATAGATGTTGTTGCCTAGCGGTGAGTAGCCTGCTATCACGATGCCCTGTACATTGTCAACTTAGGATGATAGTCATTGTGTCAAAGATGTGGAGTATCTTACCTTCTGCGTCGACCACTCCAGCAGATCCTTCTGTTGAAGGAATGGATGGGCCTCGATCTGGTTGACTGCGGGGGTTATCTTCGATCTATGTCTACCGTCAGCTTTGATACAGACATAGTATCAAAGACACTCACGTTTCCAACAACTCCTCAATCTTCTCGCGAGTAAAGTTGCTCACTCCGATCGAGCGAACTTTCCCCTTCTCGACTAGCTTCTCCATAGCAGCCCATGTATCCTTGATCGGAACATCCACGACATCAATCAGACCCGTTTGTTCATTAACGGGCTGAATAGTGTTTGTTGAGTATCTGAAAGCGACAGGCCAGTGGATCTAACATTTCTCAGCATCCCTTCAACAGCTAGTGGACGCATCGACAACATACAAGATACAGATCAAGATAATCGGTCTGCAAATCAGCGAGCGATTTATCCACAGCCTCTTCGACGTTCTCAGGGTGGTGGTGGGTGTTCCATAGCTTGCTGGTAAGCTACATATACATGTTAGCGACGTATCATGTACTCTGATTCGGTTTGAGGCATTGCTTACGAAAATGTCCTTCCGCGGAACCCCAGACTGTCTGATCCCATCACCCACTTCCTGTTCGTTGCCGTACACTGCTGCCGCGTCGATGTGCCGGTAGCCGCATTCCAGGGCTGCGATGACGGCGTCGCGGACTTCATCTTTTTTCGATTGCTATTTGATGGTCAGATATAAAGCGGACATGTTTTGCGTCGAGGTAATTGACGCACCCACGTTCCTAGGCCAACGGCAGGCATGTCGTAGCCCGTGTTGAGCTTAAAAGTGCGACCTAATGCCATTTTTAAAAACCCGATGTTTTATAGTACGTGACTTGTTGGAAAGAGTATAAGGCCACAATAAATGAGAGTGCGAACGGTAGGAAGTGTATGTTTGAGCAACTATGCGGAGGTAGTAATGATATAACTATCATCTATTTTGAGGTTACAATTCTTCGAGAAGGAAGAATATAGATCGCGTATAAATAATTCCGTTGTCGGAAAAGGAGTAGGGTATCCGGATGCTTTTCCGGGCTATTTTCCGAGCTTCCCATAGGATAATATCCCACGCTGTGGGGTAGTAAAAGAGATCGCCAATATCCAGAGTAGTTATTTTCCCGTAGGAGATCCCCCAAGGTGATGAGAAGCAGATATAACGCAAAATCAGGATGAAGATTTCAAGTTTGTCGGGACGGCTAAAGGTGTTGAAGCATACCTCCATAGGTTCCGATTGTATAGATCCTGGTGCTCGGCACACGCTATAGTCGCAGTGACCAGGTCGATAGCAATGCAATAGTCCATGGTATGGAGAGCTGCGCAACTCGCAATTTGGCGCATATAGAAGGAATGCTTCAGGTGCCACAGGGTAGCGGAGAAGCATGATCTACCTGGATGCTAACTAAAGATTAATGTTTTGGGATTGATTACCGTATCCTCAAGCAGATCTACTCCCGCGGTTGCACCCGGGAGTACCCTTGTGCATCAGATGCGTAGGTGATTCCATCCGTGATTCTGCTGTAACAGTTATCTTCCCACCTTGTTGCATCTGATGTGTCGGTCCTCGCCCAGTAAAATATGCCAGCAGAAGAGATAGTATCAAACACACCACAATAATTAGTATTCACTTTGATATAGATCTTCGGTGTCTGCAATCTGGCAAAGAAAATGAGTGTTAATGAGGATAGGGAACATAGATCAGAGAAGAGTGAAATAAGAGCAGGTTCGGACGGTATGATAGATATGTCTTGTTGACTAAAGAATTCAGAGCTTAAGCCGTAGGCCAATCTCACTCAGGTTTTAGGGCCAGGAAAGACATGTGAATTAAAATATGCGTGATACTAAGTGGCAGAGTATTATCCTACCACGGTAGTCATGTGATGCCACCCGGAATCTTCGGTATTTTGCAAGCGTTGAAATCATTGGTCAACATCTCCGCCCTATACTGCAGGGACTCCGAAAAGTCAAAAGTGGGGAAGAGCCCTGGTTTGCTTCTCCTCGGCATTTGAGAACAGCTTAGGGTCTGGGGAAAGAATGAGTCCCCAACAACACCTCTCAGATATCCATTGACTTTCTATCTCGGTACCCATCTTGACATACACTATCGCTTATCTAGGGTATGCTTGATTTCACTTATTAAACTTAATTACCTTTAATGTCTCTTTTGTTGACTCTCCGTGACAGCCAAGAGACCGGCTACAGCCAAGGCGGGCTATCCAAGCCAACCAGCCCAACGATTCGTCCACGGAGTGCCTCCATCTGCCTCCGGGTCTAGACTGGCTCAACCCTGTCGGTCCTTCTTTCCCTCTCCAATCCTGCCTTTCCGGGAAACACTCTCGCGGACCCCGACGTGGACGAGTCATCATGATAAGAACCTTCTCCGCGGGGGTTCTTCTGCAACCCCCCATGCATGCATGTCTTTACGCCCTTTATAGATAGTCTGCTACTTCCCCTCACTTCTCCTCCCAGCAACACCACGCTTGGCTCATCATGCGCACTTCTTCGCAATCTTCTGGTCTCTGTCTGGCCTTGATGGCCATGTCTCTGGCCCTTCCAGCGTCTGCTGAGAAGGTGCTAGGTGCTTACATCTTTGCTCGGCACGGAGACCGCACGGCTAAGGTGCTGAAGGACACGGAATTGACCGATCTGGGTTACCGTGAGGTCTATACCACTGGTACCTACTGGCGGAGCCGCTACATCGATTCGGACTCCTCTCTGCAGATCCAGAATATCAGTGAAGACATCGTCAAGCTGAGCCAGATCAGTGCCTCTACCCCGTCTGACGATGTGCTGCAGAATTCTGCCACGGGATTTTTGCAAGGAGTCTATCCGCCTGTCGGCGCGTCAGCCAACGAGACCTTGGCTGATGGAACAGTCGTCGACTCTCCCCTGGATGGGTACCAGCTTATTCCCTTGTCCATGACCGACTCGGGATCAAACAGCGAGGATACCACCTGGCTGCAGAGTGCGACCAATTGCCAGAATGCGGAAGTCAGCAGCAACAACTACTACAGCTCGTCATTGTATAATTCACTTCTTAATTCTACCACCGATTTTTATCGTTCGCTTTCGTCGCTATTGAACAGTACCTTCTCCGAATCTGCAATGAGCTTCAAGAATGCCTACACCATTTTTGACTATCTCAATGTCGGTTCCATTCACAATACCACCAATGTCCCAACAGCAGAGCAGCTCCACCAGGCCTTCCTGCTGGCTAACATTGAACAATACAACCTAGCTTACAACTCGTCTGAGCCCGTCCGTGCCGTAGCAGGTGCCATGCTGGCAGGTGACGTTCTCCAGGGCTTGAACAAGACGATTACATCCAAGGGAAAAACCAAGCTAAATATTCAGTTCGGCTCCTACGGCACATTCCTCTCCTACTTTGGTCTGGCACAACTCCCTGCTGCGGATGTCAACTTCACTGGGATTCCTGACTATGCTTCCTCTATGGCATGGGAACTGGTGACGAACTCAACTTCAAGTGAATTTCCTTCCACTTCCGACATCAGTGTGCGATTCGTCTTCCATAACGGGACACTCAATGAGTCAAAGAACGATAGCCCTACTGAGTACCCACTTTACGGCCGGTCAAGTGCCACCATTCCCTGGTCCGACTTTGAGCGTCTGAGCACGAAGATTGCCGTCACATCGCAGTCGCAGTGGTGCCAGGCATGTGGTAACACTGATGGTCAATGTGCGTCTTACTCGACCAGCTCTAACACTACCTCTACTTCTACGCCTCAGCAGAAGTCAAGCAGTGGTATCTCCCGGCCGGTAGCGGGTGTTATCGGTGCAATGGTAACTTTGGCGGTCATTCTTGGTGCAGAGGCGCTCCTCCTTCTCGTGGGAGGATTCCGCATTACCAAGAAAGGCGCAGTTGCACAGAACGCAGCTGCCGACGAGGAAGACAAGACCTCTTAGGAGAGACTAAAAGCAGTGAGCATGTAATCTTGATGAGTTTGGATGAGTGATGATTTTATGATGGCTGGAGCATCGTGATTTCCAGTCTTATGCTACTTTTCCACCAATAGCTGGCTTCGTATCGGGATCCTGGTCCGAGTTGTAATGAGCCTACATTAGCACTACAGTCGTTATGATATTCTACCAAGTTGACGCTGCCGTCTTTCCAATATTCTGCGCCGCACCAAATATTCCTCGTAGCTAATTCCTCTTCCACCTCGGAATCTTTGTCAATAGCTGAACCGGTTCATTTCCGGTAACCACATCTTCAAAGTAGATCGCATCAAAAATTGGGTCGAGGCCTGGATGCGACGAACACCCTGAACCATGGATGGATGCACTTCTTGGTTCCACCACGGGGAGGCCCGCCATCGCGACACCTAAGCCGTTACATCATGACCTCGGCTGTTCTGGATACAATCGCAAAGTTTCTTCGATGACGAGACACTCGTCTCTCCTTACGACTACCACTCCAGACACATCTACAATTGTTCTCCATGAGGGACTACGGTGCGCTCTCCAGCCCGCGAACGCGACACCCGCAGCCAGCCTTACAGGCCCAGCATCTACACGACCATGCAGGTCCTTATCCGTTTAACGATGGCCGCTCTGTTGGTCCTCACTGTGCTCTGGGTCGGATCGCAAGTGAGCGCAGTCCAGCAACAGCAGGAGGTTATCCCCGAAATAAATCCTCTGGAGGATGAATATCAATCTAGCAAACCTACGCAGTTTATACAGCCGGATATTGCAGACATCTCGCTCACGCCTTCAGTCACGCCCTCCTCATCAGTCGGTAGGAAGAAGCGTCCTTCGATAACGGACCTCCTCCCTTCGTACCAGAAGGATACTGCATCCCCTCAATGGGCCATTGACAATATGCTGGACACGACGCAAACACCGGTTGACGGCGTCATTGTTGTCGGGCGACTCAAGTTTGAAAGACCTGACTGGCTCATCAATGAATTGCCTGAGTGAGCGCTCACCCCCGTACACTTCACCCATACCTTCTTGTATCACCACTGACAATTCCAGCTGGCGCCACGCAATCTACACGCGCGACGACCGGCGCCACCCCCTCAGCATCCCTAAGAACAAAGGCAAAGCCAGCACCGTCTATCTCCAATACATCATCGACCACTACCACCATCTGCCCGCGACGATTGTGTTCCTGCACAACCACCGCAAACCAGGTCACACCGAGTTCCGCGACTACGGGAACGTGGCAGCCGTTACTTTTCTCCGACGCGAATTTGTGCAGAAGAACGGGTTCGCTAACCTCCGCTGTACTACTACCAGTAGTTCTGGTTCCAGTTCAAATGACGAGTGCGGGAACGTGATCCGACCGGTTTTCGATGCCAACGAGACTAGTGCGCAAGTCACAACGATTGAACAGGAGTATCCGGTCATCTTGAAGACGGTCTTCAATAGCACTAATGTGCCGGAGAAGATTGCGACGCCGTATTGTGGACAGTTTGCGGTGTCGAGGGAGCAGGTGCACAAGCGGCCCAGGGAGGAGTATATGAGGTATCAGCAGTGGGTGATGGAGACGAAGTTGAAGGATGAGGAGATTGAGCAGGTGATGGGGTCATTGTGGCATGTTATTTTTGGGAGGGAGGCTGTATAGTAAGTCGAGTTCATCTTCGTCAATGCTTGGGGTGATGTGTTTGCTGACTGGTGTTAGTTGTCCTGATACGGCCAAGTGTTTCGAGGATGTTTATGGGTTGTGATTTTTCAGGGATGTAGCTCCGTAGTGATATAGTGATAGTAGATTAATATAGTCAGTTATGCTGAGAGTCAGCAGCAGCAGTGGTTGAAAGTAGGGGGTTTGTTGTAGAGTAGATCAAGCGGAGGGGAGCTACGCTATTAATACTCCCGCCGCGCCGGCGCGACATGACGTGCGTGACCCACGCAAATTTCCAACTGCTTCAACTTCATCTCCGACTTCACCTCCGCACGCGCTCCCTCGCACCACGGACCCTACTTCGGGTCGTCACGTCCTACTTGAATTTAATGAATTGAATTAACCCTATCAATTCAACAACTACCACCTATCCACCTACCTACACGGACCTCTCCATTCGCGCAGCTCCAGCTGCCACTTATATCTACCACCAAACAACTACCACCCTCACACCCTCACGCCCGCACGCCTCCGTGCGCTCCTAAACCAAAATGTCGACACACTACAACACCGAACCCACCGCCACCGCCTCCGCAACCCTGCACACAACCCTGGGACCCTTACACATCGCGCTCTTCGCCTCTCAAACGCCCCTAACATGCCGCAACTTCCTCCAACACATCCAAGACAACTACTACACAGGGACAATCTTCCACCGGATCATCCCCAACTTCATTCTCCAAGGCGGCGACCCAACCGGTACCGGCTCAGGCGGAACAAGCATCTACGAGGAACCCGAATTCGAATACGACCCGACAGCGCGCGATCCGAACGAGAAGGTAGTCCTGCGCGATGAACTGCACAGCCGGTTACGATTCAACCGGCGTGGATTGGTTGGGATGGCGAAAGCCGAGGACGGGAGCTACGGGAGTCAATTCTTCATTACATTGGGAGATGCGAGTCGAGAGTTGAATGGGCAGTGTACGTTGTTTGGGAGGATCGAGGGAGATAGTGTCTATAATGTGTTGAAGATTGCGGAGGGGGAGGTGGTCGAGGGGACCGAGAGGCCGGTTTATCCCATTAGGGTTACCGGGTGTGAGGTGGGAGAGTTGGGGCCGTTGGAGGGGAAGATTGTGAAGAGGGATTTGACGGCGAGAAGTTCTGCGACTGCGACTGCTGAAGTGAAGGGTGGGAAGAAGGCAGCGCAGGCGAAGAAGAAGGGAAAGGCGAAGGGAGGGAAGACGCTGCTCAGCTTTGGTGATGATGAAGGTGAAGAGGGTGAGGAGATGCCTGTCAGGCCGGCGAAACCGAAATATAATGCTGCGCTGGTGACGGATACTACAGCTGGGAACGGGGATGCGCCAGCAGAGAAGAAGCCCAAGGCAAGGAAGGCGTCACCCTCACCACCACCGCGCAAGCGCGCATCGCCCACCCCTCCACCCATCGACCGACCCAAGAGTCCCGACCCAGCGACGCAACTTCCTCTGCGCGATCCAGAGTCTCCTGAGCGCTCTCCTACCCCGGAAGAACAGCCAGCACAGAAGTCTAAGCTCGAGCGAACCAACGCCGAGATTGAGTCCCTAAAAGCCTCCATGCGCCGCACCGTAACCACGGAATCAGATACAGGACGCAAGAAAACCGCCTTGGAAGCCATGATCCCTCAAACAGCCATCCGTGGCCGCAGACGCCCACCACCAGGATCCTCAGCAAGTACCAGCGCCAGCAACGGGATAACGGGCTTCTCTAGCACCAGCGACAACGCCGCATTGAAGATGTTCAATGCGTTCAAAGCGAAACTCGAAAACGCCGACTCTGCCCCTACCACCACCACCACTACGACCAGCAAACAGTCCCAACCCAAACCCCAGAAAGAAAAGGAAGAAGACGACGAAGACGAGGAATCCCAACTCTGCGACCTCCACTTCATCGTGAACTGCCAATCATGCAAATCCTGGTCTGACAACAACGCAACCGGCACTGATGCCGCCGAAGGCAATGAAGACCACCAATTAGGCGACGACACAGACCAAGGCTGGTTAACGCACCAGCTCCGCTTCGGGAAAGATACGCTGGGCAAGGATCTGAAATGGAAGAAGGAGCATCCGGACGACGTGGATAGCTTGATGGTGATTGATCCGCGGGAGAAGGAGAAAGATATTGTTGCGTCCGGGTCCGGGTCTGGGAGGAAGAAGAGGGGGATGATGGAACGGGATCGTGAGAGGGATAGGAAGAGAGGGAGGGTGGGAAATTTGGAGTGGGAGAAGGGGAGGAAGTGACTTTTTCTCTCGTTGATATTGATCAATTGATGTGTAGCATACATACTATACTATATCCTATACTACTTCTACATGGTATATCGGAATGGACCGAGAGGATAAACGTCAATACAACTCATTAATCCACAACTACCGTCAATAACAAGCCAGCAATGTGTAGACAGGACACAACGAGATTCAACCCTAACCAGCGGGAAAAAGCGAAGCAAGAAGGAGCAAGAGAGAAGAACCTAATGTCATTTTATTTAATTCATACTATGAACAAACAACGTGCGCCGCTATCATTAGAATCGTGGTATGTGTAGAAGCATTCTTTCGTGTACGGGAGGGGAAGAGGATGTATAAGATAAATGAAACCAGATGAATTAGGCGAAGGGGAGTTGGGAAGGGGAATAGTGTGTTTGATAAGGGTATGTATGTATGATTGCTTTTTTCGTCTTTTGTGAGGCCGTCAGTCAATGAAGAGAAGCATGAATTTCTTCAATCATTCATTCAATCAATCAGTCAGTCAGTCAACCGAACTGTGATGTGATGTCTTGATCTGTTGTTTGAAATCAGGCAGGAGAAGAGGGGAAAGAGACATCAAGGGATTGACGAGTTCAAGGGGAAGAAGGGGTAGGTGGGTAGGGGAGAAGAAGGTCAAGGGTATGGGGAATATATGCAGCGATATACCTGATTATCAGATCAGCTCGATTAAAGAAAAAAAGGCAGCAAGACAAGGTATGTAAAGTTTAAGCTTTTATTCGTATTCGCAGTTCCAAGGTTGGCTCTTGATATTGCCTTCCGCAGACACACAGCCCCGTTAGTAATGTCATCAAGCAGAATGAAAATAATAAAAAAAATCAAGCCTTCTTGCGCCGCTTCGCGCCGCCGCCATTGCCCTTACCTCCCTGAGAATCGTTAGTTTCGGACCCGCCATACTGCAAGCCATCATCCACCGTGTTGGCCGGGCTGGTGCTCTCGCTGTCTGGAAGTGCCTCGATGCGATTTGTCTCGTGGTTGATGGGGATTTGCGCATCCGCGCCGACTCCCGAGCTCATTGCGTTGGTTCCATAACCGCTGCCGTCATATCCGTTGTAGTACCCGGCCGTCGACTGCGGGTTGGCTCCGCTGAAGATATCACCCTCTGCTGGGATCTGGTCGAAATCGAACAGCTCGGTAGCATCCTTGATCACGCCGTCCTCGGGACCGGTCGTCGCCGTTGGGTCGGCTGATGTTGTGACCGGCACCGAGTGCGACGAGTCGCCGAAATCTAAGCTGTTTTTATTATGTTCGAGGTCTCCAATGTCCGTGAAGTAGTCGTTGGTGAAGATCTCATCAAGATTTAGTGGGGGAGGGGGGACGCTGCCATCAGTGCCAATGCCAGGGATGGTGCCCGTAGGGCTCAAGGGTTGAAGCAGGTTGGTCAGGTTCTGCACGGAACGGTCTTGCTCCGCTTGCATCTTCACCAGGTTGTCGATCTCCGCGCGGGTATTGGCCAGCCGCCCCGAGTAGTTGTGTGGCATCGGCGGTGGCGTCGGGGTCATCAGCGCGTTATTTTGAGACGCCGGTAGGCTGGTGCCGCTGGAATTGCTCTCGTTGGCCATGAGACGGAGCATATCTGCACGCTGGTTAGGGGTGAGTGGCGAGTTTCCTCCGGATGTTTCGAGGGATGACAGCACATTAGGGAAGTCGGCGAACGTCGTTGGCATGCCGTTGCGTGCATTGGAGTTCTGAATTACCGACATAATGTCCCGTTGTGGGAACTGTTGATTCGCTGGCACCGCCGTCTCCTTTTGCTGCGGGCTTGTGTCAAACACCTCCTCGACATGGCCGGGTTGCGACGCACTCGGCTGCCGGCCATGGCCACGCGGTTGTGGGCGGTCATAGGCGGTGGCAGCAGGGGACAATGTTGTCGCACGGCTCTGCCGGTCAGCCCCCGGGGGTGCTTTCAGCAAGAGGGGTTGCTTCTTCATTGATCGTTGTCCACCAGGGCTATTCAGATTGGACGCACCCAGGGTGCTCAGCGTATAATCGTCCCCCATGTCGACGACGTTACCTTGATCTTGGGAAATAGCTCCCGCGAACGAGTTCGCCAGATTCTGCGGTCCCTCCTGTCCTTGCAGACTGCGGTTGTAGACAGTTGCTAGGAAAGTGAGGATAGCATTTATCGAGTTCTCGTGCCGCGTATGCTGCTCCTGGAAGTTGGCCGCCTGCGCGTACAGTTGCTCGTGTTCGCGCCGTAGTTTGCTAATGGTGTTGGAAATGATCTGTTGTTGCTGCCGAATAGCTTGCAATTCTCGATACACGCCTGCCAGTTGGTCTTTGGGCATGACATTGTTCGTGATGAGGGACAATTGGCGGTTGCGCGCACGATCATCTCGAGATCCAATGCCATCATCCCCGTAGTCGTCGTGGTCCTGGTCCTCCGCTTCCTCGGTCTTCACACGCACATTTGCTTTCCCAGACTTACTACCCTGGCCCGCCGTGTTCTTGGGCTTCTGAATCAACCATAGCAGGTCAGGATGCCCGCGCTTGAAGTAGGGGTTGGCGTATTCGCTCGGGCTCTTGTTCTTCCGCTCGCTAGCACGCATCGAATTGTCCGACAGCCCAACCTTCTTATGAAAGCCGTACATGTTTAGCTGGCGAACGAAAGAGGCGTAGTTGTTGTGTTTGAACAGCTCCGGAATGAGGGTCTTCGCAAACTCATCTTCATCCATCACGATGAAAGAGTTTCCATCATCAGACCATCGGATAAGTTCAGTGTTCTTCGACTCGTCCAGAAAACTACACTGCAGTTAGTATTCGTTCATTCGTTCCTGTCAGTCGGTCGACCTACCTGCTCAGCTTTTGCACAAATGGAGGGATCTGCTTCCGCTTGGCCTGCGCCTCCCTCTTCGCAACCATCGCGCGCTTGTATAGGTCCTCCAGACTCTC